CCCCAAAACCCCAAAACCCCTTCAAGCTTCTTATCAATAGATTTAGAAATTTCTAAATTTAATGAGCAAATATTTCCTCCTTTTATAATTATTATTCAATAGCAATTATTATTGTCAATTCAATACTCTGCACTTAGTTATTCGTCTCTCGTATTCTAGCTGAATTTCTCTTTATTATCAGAAATTTCTAAATCATTGCTATTTTAGTTTTATTCTGCTTCTTAATTAAAATTGCTAAGTCTCGAATAATTGAAAAAGCTACTATGTTTATTGCTTTGATCTTATTGTTGATTATCATTATCAAGTAGAATATCTAATTATTCTATTTCACATATCCATTATGGTTTTTCCAATTTTTTTCTTATAGGTTCTTCAACTTGAATAGATATACAGGAATTTTTCTCCTAATACTTTAATGCCGCCTAAATACTATATTTTTTGTAATTGTACTTTTTCTTTTTATAGCCGATTTCATTATCATTATAAATCTAATCAAAGTCATTATTCAGATTAATAGACATTGAACTCTCTCCCTAACCATCTCTAAATGTAGATTATGAATCCAATTAGGAGAATTTAATATTCAACTCGTTTCTCTTTACGAATTTAAGATTTAGTGTGTTGCCATAACTATTGTTTTGAAGTGTCTCATTTGATTTCTTAAGAATTGGTTTATTTGGCTTGAGTCTGTTAATATTTTAAGTTAAATTCTTAGATGAAATCTTCCTATTGATAATGTCTTATGATTCTTGGCTTTTTTAATCTAAGTTAGTGTTATTCTTTTAAAACTAGGAGTTTGAATTTATTCCTAGAAATTTCCCTTATCTTTTAAAAACCTCATCTAATTCATCAGCGTCCACATCAGATAACGTTACTTTCAAAGAAGATTATTTCATGAGCTTTCTCATGTGCTTTTGAATTAGAATCGCATTTCTGATTGATTTTCTATTGTACATTCTTTTAAGTTAAAATTAAGCTTAGTTTGTCTTTAATGTTTGATCATATGTGTCTATTTTCTTTTTTTAAAGAAATCTAAAACAAATGTACTACCTAAGTTTATTTTGATGAATTCTGAGCAACACTTCAATGAATCTGTATAGCCAAAGCATATAAAAGTACAAATTATAGAAAAGAATGGCAAGAAAAAGCAACAATAAATACTTGTCATTTTTTTAAATGTCTGGGTCAGTAAAAAACAATCCCCCATAAAGTGTTAGCATCTATATATAGATTGATAAAAATAGGCTAAAATTTACACCTGCAAATTATGCATGAAACTCAAGTGAATTTAATTGTGGATCAATAAACGGATGATTTTAAAATAGTAGTTCAATTTGAATAAAGAGGACTATGATTCCAAGCAAAGCCTTCATTTATGAATTCAAAGATGAAAGAATTGAACCAGTCATAATGAAAATAATTTTTCTGATATTAACAACTACAATCTACAAAATATGAGCATAAAATGTTTACCTCCCAATAAAATGATTAATCTTGAAATCCTACATAAAACAAGCCAAATCTACTTATCGTATCTCTGACGTCTAAAACTTTTCTCTTTTTATAAAGTTTAATAAAAATGTAAATTGGAAACCCTACAACCCATATTATAAAATTTGGTATTCCTACTGCTAATACCATCAATGTGTGAGATTGATCCCAGCATTAAATTTCCATATCTCTCTTCAAATAAGAATTACCATCCTCGTACTGAAAGCAATTTAAAAGGGAAACTGTCAAGTTAGTAATAATAGGATATGACAAAAAAATTATGATGTAAGTTGTAACTTAAATGTTTTTCTTCAATAGTATTTTTCTTCCTCTTATTTATTAGTAACAATATGCGATTGACCACAGTATGCAAGAAATCAAAGATAAAAAGATCGGTAATATTCCAAATCCTATTACTTTTATATAAAAAGTGTTAAAGTTTGAGTTAAAGTTAAATCTAAGTAAGCAATCTAGGGATAGTACTTTCTCATTTTAGCTGCTTAAAAAGGAAAATGCCTCTAATAGAGTAAGCACATTTTCAGGCCAATATAGATTGAAATCTTTCACAACCATAACTGCATAGAAATAATTTGTTAAAATTCTTAACAGCACTGTTTGAGGCTTGTTTCTTCTAGGATCATTTAGAACTGAGCTAAAAATATGGTGAGATAATTTAAAGATTTTTACTAAAGGAGATATCCAATGTAGAGGCCTAGCATTATTAAAATGAAAATCATTTTCACAATCTAAACTTCAAGTTCTTCACATTCAGTGCAATATGATATCCCAGATCTCGCATAATGTATTCCATCAATATTTTTTTTGACACATGAATTGCATAATTTTCCCGTGTATCCTTTTAAACAATTAGATTCTAATCCACCTCTATCAATTTAATATTATATGCTTAAAATAATCTTACAAACAAGAGTCTTTATAGGGACAAGAATACAATTATTCACTATACTTAGATGATCTCCATTTTCCATAGTCAATTATAGTTATATTTTCACCTAAGCAATTTGCTCCTTAGAAGCAAGATTTACATTTGAGATCTTATGAATTAAATGAATAAGTTCCTTTTTGACAAGGTTTGCACTAATTAAGATATTGTACCTCACCTTAAAAGCAATCCCTAAAACTCATTTATATTTTTAAGTCCGCCTCTGTGATTTAATTCTCTGTTATAACTAAGTTTATTTAGTTTGCCACTTTCATATATTTTTAGAGGTCTATTGCATCTGATTGAAATATAATTTAAGTAGTTTTAGCCTTATCACCAGTAAATACCATATTTGGAAAAATAAATAATCCTCTAGATACTGAGACTTTATTATTTTAAGATATTTATAGATTGCTATCAGTAGTGACTATCTATCCAATACTGAAATTGTTAGAATTTACTAGTTGTCCATTTTAATCAAACAGCCCTATAATAATACTAGACTTCAAAACTTGACCACTAGCTATTAATTTAAGCTCATTTAATTCAATTGAATTATCTATTGAATCTAATAACTTATAGTATACGGGAAAAGATCCATAATTTGGACCATAAAAAGCAGTGTTATTTTAATATGAATTCTGATTAAGATTATTAGGACTGTACAGATCGTAATAAATTGCTCCTCCTTGTAATTAAGCTGAATTATTGAAGAAAGTGTTTAGTTTAATATCGTAATTGCATCCTTTTTAATTCTAAGTTGAGCAAGAAAGATAAATACAACCACCGCTATCTTTCATAGCTGTATTATTATTAAAATTGCTATATTTAACTATCAAATTTTAACCTTGAATGTAAATTGCTCCAGCTTTATCAGTGGCTTAATTATTTGTAAAATTAGTATGATATATCAATACGCTATACTACTAATTTTTCTATTGATCAGCAGTTGCATAAATTGCTGGAGCGAATAAAGAGGTGATGTTTTTAAAAGTTGAATTTAGGATGCTTATCTAAGAATTCAAAGAAAACAATCCAACCCCATAATTTTGTTGATCATATGCATCACTTATGCTTGAAGATATTAGATTTAGTTCAGAATCTGTTATATGTATCAGTTGAGTCTTAAATGAATGTGCTTATAACTCAATAATCTCTATTTAAGATGAGCTTGATTTGATTATTTGATTTTAAGATAAAACATTTTAGATATGAGAAATATTCATTTTAGTAATCTGAACTTTCGAATCTAGTAAACTGAGGAGATTTTGACCTATTATTAAGCTTTCATTTATACTTGAATTTTATATCTTAACATTTGATAACTTAGATATTAGGAGGCTTCCATTAAATTATCAAACCATTAAGTTTTAGAAAATAGCAAAAGAATTGAACTGGACACTAATTAATGAGCTATTTGTAGTCACATTCTTAATATTTACATAGTTTATAAATATTTGTGATTCATCCAAACTTATAAAGTTATTACCATTATTTTAGATGTTATGAATGAAAACCCAATCAAGATGTACAAATGATCTAGATTTTGCTGTCAATAACTCATGTTATTGCATTATTACTAGATTATCACTAAAAATAATCTCTGCTCTGATTAATTCAAACTGAGGATTCCCCTCCAACAGATTTTTTTAAAGTAAATTTTCAATCTCAGCTTATTTATTCATAATGAATTCTCTATAAATATCATGGAACTTAAATTCTGAAAACTAATCTAATAGATTTGAGTATTTTGATATTTTGACTTTTCCATTTAACTGAATCTAGCCTCCTCTAATTATTATAGGTTGAAAGGAGTTAATCGCAAATACAATACTATTTTTAACAGCTGAATTATTAAATATACTACAATTAATTAATTCAGCCTTACCATCATTCTAAGTATAAATAACGCCACCAATTAAAGCAAAGTTATTTTAAATATTAGAATTTTCAATTTTAAAGAAGCCACTTAATTAGCTAATTATTACTCCTCCATTATACGAATAGCAATTTTTAATTATTGAGTTATTTAAATATCCAACAGCATTTGGTTTTTCAATAAAAAATATTGATCCTCTACCCAATGAGAAATTATCCTCAAAATTAATATTATTTGCAATCAATTACCCATTTTACTCAATTACAATGAGAGCAGAAAACTAGCCATAATTATTTTAAACTTTTGCTTCATTGATGAAAACAGTTTATGGGTTATCAAAATCAGAAATCAAGGAAGGTTAAAGCTGAAATAACTTTCCAGTATTATTTAGAACAGTCAAATTTTTGAATGTTAAATTCTATGAATTATGAGCAAATTAAAATGTTGACCCAAGTTAAAGAACATTTTCAGTAGCATAAAAATTTTCGAATACTATTTAAAGATTATTAGAATACCAAGAACTGCTTTAAATTAATGAATCTTTTCCCAATAGTGTGTTAAGATTAATAAGGATAGTTTTAAAAGTTAATTCAACATCCTAGTTATCATTCTCCTACTCAACAGAATCAATCAAAAGTATTTAAATTTCTGATTAAAGAATTGAGACATTCTCAAACTTTATCATCATTCTTTTATCTTAATATGGTCTAATTAATCTTAAAGCAATTGCAAAAACCTAATCTAAAAATTAATCCTTTAAATATTTTACTTTTTTATGAATTAAAAATCTTTTGGATCAGGAGATTTTTAAATAAAACATTTTATGCTCCATTCAATATTATTAAATCTCTCTAAGAAATCATAGAATTTTTTATAGTTATATTTTATATATCTAGATATTGAGAATCCTTCAAATCAAAAGCAATAGATTTTTAGAAATCTATATCTTCAAATTCAATATTTTTAACAACAATATTCTAGGATTAATCAATGCCAAGAAACATATTTTGACGAACTTAATTACCTAATTAGTAAAGTTAGAAAATATATATTTTTACTTAAGCCTTTGCAATTATTAATCACTATATGAGATATCATAGCATTCTAAGTTTGAAGATAAATAAATGTTGAAACAGTTGATTCCTTAAGAGTAATATTTTAAATTCTTATTTTCGGAACTTACAATAGAACCGCTATATTTTCATCATTCAAGTTAAGAATATTCTTGAATGTGTTATTTTAAAAATCAACAAAGAGATTTTATAATCCTTCTTATTTTTTTATTGTAATCAAACTAGAAGATTTATATCGAACATTTTCGAAATAATTATTGCTGAATGAAACTTCTTACTTACCATCGGAACCCAAATTCAAAGTGAAAAAAATGTATGAAAGTCTTTATTTTTCATAATTTGCAATTTTGTTATTATCTATTTTCAGATGAGTTATTGGTTGAATTTGGCAGTTCAGATTTTAATATTCTACTATAATAGAAACTCCATAATCTAACCATTCAAAATCTAAAAATTAGTTGTATGTAAATGTGAAATTTAAATGGTTCTGAGCATATATCAATGCAGTATAACCTCTTAGAGTCTGACCTTTGAAAGTATTGTTATGAAAGATTAAGTTATTTCCTATTCCGATATTTTAATGATAACTACAATCAGCTTTTGCAGCATATTGTACTATTCTACTCTATTATATTATATCAATGAAAGAATTTTCTATCTTTAAGTTAGATCCATCATCTACAAAGAAATGCATTTATCTTAGCTGAAAATAGCAATTAGTAATGTTTATCCATCTATACTGGGAATATTTCGGAACAAAGAGGGCATCAGTAGTTGTATCTTATGAGGTTATTTCTGTAAAATTTAAGTCTTAAACTAAAAGGTTGGAATTGTAAATTACAAATTTTAGTTTTATTGTGCCAATTTAAGTTTATGGGAAAATACCAAGGAGAGCTACTTTTTGGAAATCATAAAATCTCGAGTTTTTAAGGGATTAATCAAAAGTCGGATTAAAATTAGATGCAGGTCTCCAATAATTTTTACTATATATTTAAATAGATGTGTATCTTTAAATCTCTTGATTATTAGAAACAGTATCATAATAAGGACTAAAAATATTATATAGCTTTAATTACCTGATTTTTAAGTTTAAATTCAGTAGAACTAGTGGCATATCATCAGAATGAATAGTCAGATTAGAATTATGCTTTACATAAATTATTAGATCTCTAATCCCTGGAATTACATTGTTGAAATGTTCTCTAAATGCATCATCTAGAGATTTGAATGGAAATGCTTTTATTCCTAGTTCTATGTTACTTAATTTTGAGGAGGGGTCAATAAAAATCTCATTTCCTATTATTATAATAAATACTCAACCAGAAAAGCTTACCTCTGCAGTATTTGAATTATTTAGTTTTTAATTAATCAGTCTGAGTTGTGATTTGAATCTTTCCTACAGGGCATTTGTCAACACAAGTCCATGAATCAAGATCTCTGTATTTATCATCTTTACATACCAGACAATCTTCCGAAGTATTTCCAATACACCAGTTATCACAATTTATATTACAACCTATATACTTGTTATTTGTTTATGAAAATGATAATTTTTTAAAAGTAAACCAAGTGTTCTCATAACTTACTCTCACATCAAATCTAGTTCCAGAATTAACCTTAATTGCAGATTTATGTATTTATTGCAGGAAATATGATTAGTAACCAAGAGATTTAAAAGATTATTGTTTTCTATAGAGACAGTCTAAAATTTAATGATTTCATGTTGATAATTAGAATGATAATAATTAGAAATTGTGTAAATTTTAATTAATTAAATTTGAAATTATTAATAACCTCTCCCAAATCTAAATAAGTGACATGAGGGGTTTTGGGGTTTTGGGG